GCGCTTTAACCCGTTGCGCCACTGGGGAGGGCCCCATAGTTTTCAGTCTTTGATGATGTGCTTTGCCTGAAATCCTCTAGCCGCATGTTTCGGTATCAGGGCCTCTCTGTTTTGGGGTTGACTGTTGGTGTTTGCTCACATGCTGTGCAGGGTACGGCCCAGTGCTTCCACAGCCCGGGGTTCTGTGCAGGTGATTTTCCCTTAAGGAATTCTGATGGTTCTATGTTGAACATTCTCCCACTCAACTCGAGACTTCGTACTCCCAGGACATTGCTCCTTACAGAGGTGTCAAAGGTCAACTTGGAATGGCCTCCCTAGGTCAGCATGTAGGGGCACCGAGTCAAAGAAATGCTGTTTGGGCTGCTTAGGAGCGGCCAGGTAGGTGGCAGAGCTCAGGTGTTTCAAACTGGAGCTGGAAATGTGAGCTGGAAAGGGTAGGTAGTAGGAGTAATCAGGGAAGCTGTGTGTTTCGCTTTTAGCCTTGTACTGTTTAACTCAGTTGTTAATTATTGGCGGGAAAATCACTGTTTTTGGTTTTACCTTGAAGGTGTCATCAGTTTCTTGACTTGATTTAGATAACAGAAATGTCTCTGCAGATATTCTAGCTCACTAGGTAACTTCATAATATAATTCATTTGCAAGGTATTTGCTGACTGGAATATGCTTAATGCAAAGCAATGTGTAAAATTAGTTTGCACTTCTAAATTCAGTTTGGAAGAACGGTAGTGCCTAAATGTTTTCAAGACACCAATTCGTAACTTTTAAGAGATTGCATTGACTTTCATTTACTTTACTAAGCAATCATTGTGGGGTTGATTTTTCTCCAAGTGAAATGTTTTAAGTTGAAATAATGTGTTTCCGTCAATTAAAAAGAATTAGCAAGGAAAGTAGAATTGAGTTTATAAATAAGCTGTGTTTTTGGTAGTATCAGCCCGAAGAGTTGCATAAAACTTCATTTTGTGTAAATTGAATCATAGCTGCAGAATTTCAAACTTTCAAAACACCTGAAGAAAATAAGGCAAAATTTAAATGGATTGGTTTTATTTATTTAAAGCTTTCTACTTTCCTGTATGTTTGAACTATTTTTAGGGCTGGAAGAAAAGGACAGGGGATTTAAAGCATATTCCATTTTAAATGTACCAGAGTCCTGGCTATTTAACAAAAACCAAAGAAAAGTCTCTCAGTAAACATAAACCTATTGTGATCAGCCTGCTTTACAAATTCAGATGTTCCTAACTGACTGACACAGACACAAGCAACCACCGCCAAAATCTGGACACATCTCTCTGCGGCGTTTTGAATGTCCTCACATCTACCAGACTGTGTTGAGCTTGAAAATGCAACATGTATGTTTCACGTGATCCTGCACCTCTTCTTTATCATAATATCCCGGGGCGGAGAGATGAGGCCTGGCCAGGAAAGATGCGCTTCTCACTAGCACTGGGATGAGTGTGTGGGTGTGAGGCCTTCCTGCTCAGCGGCCATGGGCCAGGGCCAGTGCCTCCAGGCTCCAGGCTCCTGGCCCCTGCTCCCCTCTGGCCTTGTGCTTTCCATAGCTTTTACATGTGCTGCTCCAGCAGAGACTCTGCTGTACTCACAGCCAGTTGGGAGAGCCAGGGCTTTGGAAAAAAACTAGTCAAACAGGTTTGCCTGTCTGTCTAAGGGGGAGTGAAGCTGTGAAATGTTTGGGTAAGGTTAAGGGTGAAAGGATTTTAAGGGATATGAGTTAATGCAGATCACTGAAGCTGTTTCCTCCTGGTTTGGAGAGTGCATAGGAGGCTTTATGGGAATATATCTTGAGGGAGCAACAGGGAGAGGAAGGGAAGCTGGAAGCTGGAAAGAGAAGGAAGAAACCGGGAGTGAGAAACAGGTGGCCAGAGGGAAAGGAAAAACAGCAGCAGGGGACAATAACCTGAACAGGACCGAGGACAGTGTTTCACCCCGGCCCCACAGCCGGGTGTATCATAGCAGGAAATCATAATATTGACGTGAGAATCAGTTTAGTCAAAACAAACACACACCTGTGGTTTTCAGCTTCCCCACTAGGGAGCTCCCCACCTGGTCAGGGCTCAGGTTAGACTACTGATGGGAAACTGGCTCTCACCTAACCTGGGAGTGCTCTCCCTGTCCCAGCCCTTCCAGGCTGCCTTCATGCAACCATTTGGTGGTTTACACGTTTCTTCCTCAGGCCTTCCATTCTCCTAGCCTCATTCTGCCCCCACCCATCTTGTCTGGCACATCCTCCTATTTTACAGACCATAATTCGGGGGCACAAATCTCCTCACGGACACTTTGAGGTCCCCACAGCAGTCTGTGGGGCATTTGATGTTAGAACCCAAGCCCTTGCCTGGGGCAGCATTACTGGAGCCTTGGCCCCACCGAAATGCCCTGTCAGCCACCCCCCACCCCCGCTTTAGTCCTTCCGGAACCCCTTTCCCCACCAACGAGCTGCCACCCACCCTTCTGCTTCCTTCCCTGTCGTTTTGAAGAACGTCTTTGTCCCCAAGTCTCTGTTCGCTTTCAGTTTCACTCCAGTGGTGAAGTTATTCATGCTTGTGGATTGCATATTTATACACAAATAGGTGATTTACAGAGTCATCTTGTAGCTTCAACTTCCTTCCGGCTCTCTGAAGACCTAGGGTGTCCGATTCGATTCGGCTTCCAGGCTCACAGCGGACACCCCCATTTGCATCAGTCTTCGGGCCACAGGCGTGGGTGTTATTTTGAAGCCCACTCTTCCCTCACTGATCTGCCTGGTGTGCCTTCCAGTTCCATCACAGTCTTCTTGGAGACCTTGTGCTATGCTATTTCCTCTCGCCTTCTGCTCACTGTGCGCAAAGGCCTCTGGGACCCCCAGCCACCAGTGTCTCTCTCACCGTTTCCTTGCTTTGATCCCCACCTGTCAGGTGTGCGTGCCTACCTGTGGAATGTCAGTAGTCTGGCTTTCAGGGTGCTCTGTCGCCCAGCTGCAGCCCCATCACCCACATGTGGGTTTTTCTTCCACTCCCCAGTAAGGTTCCACTTATCCCTCAGGCGTCTTCTGGGTCTCCCCCAGGACTGCCTGCCTTGATCCTCTGTTGTGTCCAAATCCTCAGCCTTGAGGGTTTGGGCATTTGAATCCCACCCCAGACTGTTTCTTCCCAGTCTCTTAACTTTTCTTTGACTTTCATTTCCCTGTATATTGACGATCCTTTAACATTTATGTAACTTCTCCCTCTAAGGGTGCTCAAAGAGCAGGAACTTTCCCTCTCAGCCTCCCCCGCCCCCTACTTTGGACAAACATAGTGAGCAGATAGAACATACCAAAACACATCAGCAGTATCTCAGAAGATAGCAAGGGAAGTCATAGGTTTCTTAATTTTCTGTGTGCATTTGATGCCTTTGTCCCTGTATCATTGAAATTTGAAATGTTCCCTTACTTTGTTTTTATATCAGATATTCTAGACAGAATCCACACAGCTTGTGTGTCATTTTATTCACATCACACACACGCATACACATAGATTTGATTCATAGAAAGTTCCTAAGAAAAGTCCTCCAAGTGCTTTATTATAACATTATAATGACTTGGTAGGTTTTTTCTTTGTCATTTTACTTATGACTTCTAAAAGATCAAAGTACAGACATGACTAATTGTGGGGCTAATTAGTAGGAAATAGTGAATAATGACAGATAATTAAGTAGATTCAGTTTTTATTGTCTATTTATGTTTGTCTATGTATGTTGTCCTGAAGCAGTTCTCGGAGGACAGACGATCACCCACATGAGGAAGGTGTGACTTAGCATTTTCTAATTACCCCTCTGTTGCCTCTCTACCTCCGGGCTTTCGGATGTCAGCGCCCACAAACACCAGCCCACGGGGAGCTCTTCTTTCCCACTTTCCTCCATCGGGAAATGCCCAGATTTTCGGTTCTAATGAGACTGTAGGGAAGAGGAGCCAGGATATATTTAAGAAATCTCACCAAAAAAGCCCCAAAAGTTTAGCTAGACTGTGAATAAAAAGAGATGCCTCACTGTTATTTACCAGTTTCAAATAATTCTTTGGGGCACTGAGAGATAACTGTGTTATTTGCTCAGACATAGTATGAAGGCAGAGCTTCAAAACATACTTTTATTCAGGGTTCTAGCTATGCCGGCTATATAGCCCTGCCCCTTTTCTTCTCCTACTCTTTCTCCAGCCCTTCTGGTGATAATGTCCCTGCCTCTGTCTGGTGGGTAATTCAGAAGCGCTGAGAGCAGGTTTTGGATGGAGGGACCCAGGCACAGACAAGTCCCAAGATGGTGGGGTGCGGGTAAAGCTGTGGAGGGCAAGATGCCTATGCTGGATTGGGTTGCTCTTCAGTCCCCCTGTACAGTGGGATTGGTCAGCTCACTGGGGGCCCTGAATGCTTTATGCTTTCTGATTATTTTTACAGTGAAAAATAAGTCAGCTTGTCATTTATTTTTTTTTTCTACTTTTTGCATAGAAGAACTGGGGTGTAGACCGCTGGTGTGAGATGCGAGGGTGGAAGGATTCACCAGAGACGGTGGGAAGCAGAACAGGTGTCTCTACTGAAACACACTGCTGAGGGAGCAGCGGGTGAGACTGCTGTGCCTTGTGGGTCGCCTCCCTGGCGGCGATCAAGCACGGGCTACGGTGACTTACTTACCCCTAAGCCAACAGGGAGTCCCTCAGCTTGTCATTTTAATGATCCTTTATTATTATATTGATTATAAGGATAATTATTATTATTATTATTATTATAATGATATTCCTATGCCTCTCCTACCACTCTGCCTGAAAGGCCATGAAAGGGGCGTCCTTGAGCCAGCCCCATTGCCCACAGGGCTGAGAGTGGTACCTAAGAAGCAGCCCATCCATTCTCTCCACAAGGAGCCTATTGCGTGACGGGCAACTGCCTTAGGAGCCAAATACAGTGTGATTTTGTAAACCTAGTATAAAATGTAGTATAATTAAGAAGGTTGAAGAAGGTAATGAGTATGGCTTTTCAGGGCTGCTGTTTCGATTGGCCTGCCCAGGGATTCAAGAAAAAGTCGACTGTTACCTGGCTTATGCAGTAGTAACCTTGGAGTCTCCGTGGTGCAGGTAAGAGATACTGGATCTGGACCAGGCAACCGGAGGGCAATTTCCCACTCTGCCAATGAGTAACTATGAATTAGCTATGTGGCGCTAGGCAACTGGGTCCTCGAGACACTGTCCCTCTCTCTACAAATGACAGGGTTTGAGCTCTGTTATCTTTCATTTTTAAAGTGGGGCTCTTGATTTTTTCTTAAAAGAATATCTGTATTTTAAAAGTTACTTGGTGTTACGGCATAACAAATACATTGAGAACCAGATGTTTGCATGGCTAATAACAGTAGCAGTGACATACAAGACTTCTCTGGACTTGGCTTCTTTGGGCCAAATAGCAGGCACAATTCTCAGTGCTTAGAAGACTCCAGTTTTACCTGTGAGTAAAGATTCATCTAAGAAATGCATTGTGTCTTTCTACAGGACCTACTTTAATTTTTCTCTGCTAGGGAATGTCACTATATCACAGTAATTTTGGTATTTTATCTAGAATAGTCTTGCTATTTTATCTCATCTACTCCATAACAACCTTCCCTTAGTGATTTTGCTGGTGTTTTATTTTTATGAGATAGCAGGGGAGAAGAAGTTGGATATTTTAACTTTTGAGGACTTCCAAGAAATTGAGTAGGGAAATATTCAAGGTTTTTTTTTTTATACTCAGATATGTTTGGGTCCAAATCATATTTGAGGCAAAACATGGGGACATATATTCTGGCACTCCTGAACTGTTGACATAGCTAATCCCAGAAGGCCACCTAGTAGAGCATAGTCTACACATCGCCTCTGTGATCCTGCTGCATTTCTGAGGCTTTTGTGTCTCTAGAGAAGTAGTGTACGTTGGGAACCTTTGTCCCCCACACCTGTCTAATTGTGAGAGAAGTTAAAATTTGCTCTGGACGTCCTCTACTTTCACTTCCGTTATTCCTCTAGTTAAAATTCCCATAACATCGAGTTCTAAAAAACAGAGTGAAAGATCTGAAAACCAGGCCTCAGACTTTTTCCAAGAAAGCAAGTACCTCGCAGAACTGAAAGCCTGTGCCTTCTCACTTGTAAGATTTACGAAATTCTTCTCATTTGTTTAAGGATGAGATCAGCATCAAAACAAAGAATTTCTTTATTGTTTGGCGAATATGGGTCACATGGTACAGGCGCACAGAGAGAACTGGTACCAGCCTCCTCTTGGACTTGCAGAGCAGAAACCCGAAGGCAGTCTGTGGGAGATGATTGTGGGAGCTATGCGTAGACTCCTACATGATATACATACACACACACACAAAAAAAAAAAAATTTAAAATATGTGATAAAAACCATAAGGGCTTTACTATCACTGCCTTTTTTTTTTTAAGATTTATTTATTCATACAGAATTGGGGTACAGGCCAGAGATGCTGAGGGTGAGAGGATTCACCAGAGACAGAGTGGGGAGCAGAACAGGCAGATCAGAGGAAGTACACTGCTGAGGGGAGCAGCGGGCGGGTCAGGAGAGGTCTGCCGCGCCATGTGGTCACTTCCGGGGCAGGTGGGAATCGAACTCATGCAGAAGTGGCTTAAGCTTCTTAGTGCTGTGCTTTCACCCGCTGCGCCACCAGGGAGGTCCTCACTGCTTTCTTTATAAACAATAAAATTGCATTATAAAAATTTCAAGCATTTATCTCTGTCAGTGATGCTCAGTGTGGTCTCTGGATCAGCAGCATCAGTATTACCTGGGAACTGGCCAGAGATGCAAATTCTTGGGCCCCTCTTAGAAGAACAGAATCAGAAACTATGGAGGAAGTCCCCAAAGACCTTGTTTTTAAGAGGTTCTCCAGGGGGTTCTGATACATATGCTAAAATTGCAAGGCAATTTTCCATTGAAAAATTTCATTTATGAGATGAAAATACGTGATTATTTTAAGGACAAAAGTATGTATAATTTAGATTTGGAAAATGCTTTTCTGGTTAACACTTTCCTTGTTAATTTTTGTGACCAAAATTTATGATAATGTGTTTTATAGTCTAAAGGCTTAAGAAGTTTACCAAGTAGGATTTTCACACACTACTATTTTGATTTGTGAATCTTAGAATTAAAGGTTGGTCTATTATGTGACATATGGCAGTGGAGACCTTAGAGAATCTGTGTAGATAGATATGGCATGCTGGATCAGGACCAATTCACTAATTGTTCTCTGAATGTATTTATTCGTGTATCTTAGTCACTTAAAACTACTCCATCTCCCCCCACCCCCATGCCCACCTACAAACTCCTCCACTAACTAAAAACAACAAATTAACGAGCTGCTTACTTTCCTGTGATTTTATGGAAGTTTAATACCGTGTTTTTAATGTTACAATGATCTGGGGACTATTCAAGAAAGAAAACTACCTTAAGACCTGGGTCATATCTTCAGAAACTCTGACTGCGCTGGGCAGAGTTGAAGGTGACAGGTTTCCAGGTCCTCTGATTTTAGAAGCTCCCCGGTGATTATCACATTTCCAGAGTCAGAAGCCGCTGGGCTGTATAGCAGCTAACGGTAACTAGCAGACCCGTAGCGAGTTATACAGTAAATCCACTAGGCCCTTTCATGGTCTTTTGTGTGACTGAAAAAATAACTTGTTTTCCAGTCGGTGATTAGTGTTGACTAGTTCACCAAGTTATCGGTCATGTTTTAGGATTGTTTGTTCTGCCTCTTGGCTTGCTCTACATCCTTGGGCTCGCTCCAGGAAGTTCATGTACTTGCCTCGGGAGAACCAGACATCAGGGTTCTCATCATTTTAACAGCACCCCCATAGAAATTACCAACAGGGATTCTCATCATGTGCATTTGAAATTGAGGTGAATTGTGAACTTCCGTTTTTTTTGTTGTTGTTGTTTGTTTGTTTGTTTGTTTGTTTAAATAGCATCCTTTGACCTGATCTGTAGTGTTTTCATGAACCAGATAATACTGGTCTCTTAAAACCTTTTCTTTCCCACTTAGAATGTAAAGAATTTTCAAAAGCATTTAATTTAATATCCTCACCTACAAGTGAAGAAAATGAGAGTCAGACAAATGAAGTAAGTTGACATAATCAAGGCTTCCAATTTGAAGAACCATATTATTAAAGATTAAAATGTCATACACATAGTTCTTGTTATTACAGCAACTGCGGAAGAGGACCATTTGAAATGGTACAGTCTTTATCACTCAACCAATGTGAAATGTGGGCTACTTGAGAAGATACTCAGGTGACCCAATCATGACATGTCCAAAAATCCAAAATTTAAAGAAACACTGACATTTGTTTTAATTATGGAAAGTGATATTGATAGGACTTTACCAGTGTGCCGTCTTTCCAAGTATTTTTAATTTGTGTAATTAAGCGACAATGGGAAGTTTGAGCATGTGACATTGAAAGACATGATGCTGAAAGGTACCACCATGTACTTACAAACCTCTAAAACCGTAATTTTATGCTGTTGCTCTGAGAGATTGCCGGATCTTGGATCTAGGCAATTACAAAATATTTAGCGATTATTTACTTACTTATGCAGAATTCTGTTGGGAGCTGGAGCTGAGCTCCTGTTTTTCTGAGTCCCTAGGACAGCTGAACTTTAAGTCCAGTTTTTATATCTTGCATTAACCTGTATTTTTCTTACTGCTGGTAAATATTATGTTTCAGCCTTGCCTTTCTTTCTAATGAGTAGAATGGCATCAAAATCTCTACCTCCTGGGTCCTCTCAGGTGGTGCAGTGGGTTAAAGCACAGCACTGTGAAGCTATCTGCAGCCCCTGCAGCACGAGTTCCATCCAGATCCTTGGCCAGGGAGCTGACCCACGTGGCGCAGCAGACCTCTCCTGTCTCACCTGCTGCTCCCCTCAGCAGTGTATTTCACTCCGTCTGCCTGTACTGCTCCCCACTCTGTCTCTGGGGAATCCTCTCACCTCCTGTACCCCAGTTCTTGTATGCACAGGTAAATAACTCTTTAAGAAAATCTCTAGCTGCTGCAAAGTATAGGACAGAAACATACAGCAGGGAAAAGAAAGCGAGTGGGATTAAGACAGGGAAGCAAAGAGCATAAGGGACCAGGGTGATGGTTCATGGATGATGCGCTCGTGGGAGATTGATGGGCAGTATGAGGAGAGAAGTCACATGTTTTACATACATGAACAATGATGTAAGGAAATGAAAGGTAATCTCCAGCTGCTTATTAAAAATGCAGAATTTGGGATTTCTCCCCAGCCTCCATAGCAGCCTCTGTTGGAGAGGGCCTGGAATCAGCATTTTTGGAGAACCATTTATTAGGTGATCAAGTTCGTGTGTGGACTGTTGTTAAATTTAATCTCCATCATAAGCATCCCATGGACATGTTTAGGCACCAGGCTCTAGTGCAATCTGCTATGTCCACCTTCATTTTCCTTCTCTGTTTTCCCCTTCTTGCCTCCCCTCCCCCTGGTGATCTCAGCACAGTGCCCCAGATGGGCCTGGGCCAGCGATCACTGATAAGCCAAGAGCGTTGAGTTTCTCATTACAGGTTCACCACCTGCACTGCAGATGTAGACAGAGACACACAGATACAGGCAGTGCAGACACGTGGCCAGTGTTGCTGGCTCAGGACACTGCAGGCCTTGGTGATCTCACCTTCTCAGGAGGTTTCTGTGTGCTCAGAATGGAACTTTTTTTTCTTTTGAAAGATCGATTTTATTTATGCACAGAACTGGGGTACGGGCCAGAGGTGCAGGGGCAGAGAGAGGATTCATCAGAGACAGAGTAGGGAGCAGAATGGGCAATCTAGTGGAACACACTGCTGAGGGGAGCAGAGGGAGGGACAGGAGAGATCTGCTGTACCCTGTGGGTCACCTCCCAGGCCAGGGTGGAAATGAGGCCATAGCAGGAATAGCACTGACTTAACCCCTAGGCTGCCAGGAGGTCCCCTTTCCGCATTTCATGCTTGTGTAGACCACTGAGTAATTTATAGCAACTTTGTTTCCCCTACTGTGACATGTTAGTGCAAGGAGTATGTTAGGGATAATAGACTATTTCCCATCCTAGTCTCAGGAGA